TTGTTTGTAAGTGTTGAAATTACTTGTAGTTTCAAAGCCAGAACAATGTGAATTAAGCTTAGAATACAGTTGTTCTCATCCTGGAAATAACTCGCATAAACCGGTGTACACTAGATCTATTGAGACTAGGAGATATAAGAGTAAGACTAAGATTGGTATTAGACTAAGAAGTTGCACGAATCTATCCGGCCGAAAATAAGATAGCGCGAGGAGCAGACGGTGTACCTTATCTGAAATTACTCTATGAGTACACCCAAAAGGTCATAACTCATCTGGTGCGATCAAAGGTCTCGGACAGATCTAAACTAACCTAGATTTAGAAAAAACAGATTAGAATTAGACAAATACAACATTTTACAAAATGTTAAATGAGAAAAATTTAGTAGAAATGTCTCTACGACTCAAAAGATCAGATGCAAGATTCCGAACAATACGAGAACTACCCGGTATTGGAAGAAGACCTCGGACAAGAGACGACATACGACTAGGAAGAAATCTACCTATTGATTTCATGATTGTAAGACAAAAACGAGATCAAACTTTTACATTTAGAATACTTCTAGCAGTAAATTTAAATTTTCATTTACTGACATAAAATTTTGAAGAAACATCTTCCATAATCTTTCATAGCGCTAAACCGAATAATTATACAATAACGACAAATAAAAACCACACTAGTCGTTCTTCTTTAAAAATCTGCAGTAAATTAAAAACATCTTGAAAAAAATATTTATTGATTATAAAAGTACAAAAATTAGTTAGTATAAAGCATCAATTGTTAATATTTATAAATCATCCCTTCATCCCAGCTGCATTACCTAAAACATAACAGCAAATCTCAAAAACTAAGAATCATCAAAACTAAAAACTTAACCTTTTTATCTTAACCTTTTGTCGAAAAACTATCAAGGCTTATCTTTGTTTTCACTTAAATTAATTTGATTTAAAATAACAGATCATCAAGGCTTCCTTTGGATCTTTAAATTAAATGAAACGAAATCTAAATTTCTGATCATCAAGGCTTCCCTTGGATCTTTATATTAAAACAAAATAAATCTTAATTTCTGATCGTCAAGGCTTCCCTTGGATCTTCAAAATTAAAAAAAACTTAATCTAAATTTCTGATCACCACGGCTTATCCTTGGATCAAATAGAACAATTTTGTTCTCCCCCTCCCATATTAATTAGTGTCTAACGACCTAAAATATCAATTCACTACCCAACCCTTATTAAAGACCCAAAATTAACAGAAATTTTTCAAATAGCTAACCATTCTAATTAGGATAAAAAGTGAAGATCTTCAAATATTCATCCTTCACTTGATCCCTTTCCTCTTAAATGACCCAGGCTAAAAACAATTAAACCTAGTAAGTCATAAAAAATATCTAACAAACTACTTTCGTTCTAATTATACCTGAACATTGTGGATCGATTTACTATTCTCCAACCCTTGATCACAAACCACAAACCCTAGGTAAGATTAGTTTAGTCTATCTTAACTTGGAATTATTCACGAGAAAGTAAAAATCATTCTTACGAATCGATATTTGTTTTTCTCTCCAACCCGACAAATATGCCTCAAGTTAAACTAACAACAAAAAATCGTAAGAACTAACAGTTTAAGACACTAGAAATCACTATATTGCATCCATCAATCTTATGTCAAGAGACAATGTAGGAAACAAACAAACAATTATATTACACAACTGTATAATTAACGACGAAAGATACGATCTCGTAATCACACCACACAGACAAACAATAGGATGCATAAGAACAAGAAGACAAGCACTAAGAAAGGAAATCATTAACAAACAAAAACAATTGATTAGAAAACTATTTTCAAAACGAAGAAACGCAAGTACCAAAAAACTGAATTTAAAAAATGACAAAAACAAATTACAGACACTCCTACAATGGTTGCTCATGAATGTTAGTCACCATTTTGAGCACAAGATCAAAAAATAATCTCAACATAGACAATCATCGCGACTTCGAAATCAGCCACGAAAAGATTATAAACATTCATTCCACAATCTAAAATATTAAAGAAAGTTGAATTTCAGAAACCACTTTAAAATTAATTAACGTTTTCACCTATTGAAAGATCTTTTCATAGCCCGTAAATTTTCTCAAAATTCATGCTGAAAGCTCTTGAACAAACTCGTTCAAGTTCAGCCAATAAGAACTTTTAAGAATCATCACCTCATTTCAGACACAACTTCTTTAGCCGACAAACAATCACCCTCAAGCAAATCCTTAACTATAACTAAATGATCTCTAGGTCAGAAATAAGCAAACCGCTAAACATTGAAACCTGAAATAAACAAAGTCTCAATATTACAACCTTCCCCTATCAAGTAGAACAAAGATCAACAATTTTGTTCCAACTTAGACATCAAAACTCCCTCAAGCAAAAACATTAAATTAGCCTGAAGAACAAAAAGGACATGATCATTTAGCCTAAAAGTACAAACATCTCTTAAATACCCCCAATCATCCAATAAATAAAAACAAAATTAGGAAGACCCTTAAGAGCCCTCAAAACTTCCCTTAACCAAAACCTTCAACGTAGACGAATCCCACCCACTAATTGTCCCAAACGAAGTCCTACAGCCCGTTGAAATCCTGGTCCTAGAACTCATCCATAACACCAGATATAACCATAAACTTTATAACCTCATCCAAAAAACACCTTATGAACTCTCACCTAGCACTGAAGAGCACAAAATCATTGAAGCACTCGAATTGCTTGGGCCACTTCTCCAAACTAAAAACATCATTCGTCTGATAGGTCAGTTACTAACATCATCAGAAATCATCAGCGACATTTTACCCACGGATTGTTCACAGACGAATAAGGTAAAATGAATTAAATAAATTTTACTAACGAGTTTGAACAAAAACTAACCATTCTTTATAATGTTTTCTCGTTTTCTCTAGTCTTCACAGGCACGATCATCAATCATCTACAAAAAAAAGAAAAACGAAACAAAAAACAGGAAACTTTTTTCTAGAATCATAAATTTGTTTTAACCAATTTCATAAATTGAAGCAGTAAAATTCTCCCCCAAACAGCAATAAATCGATGCATAAATTCTTTTCCCATATGCAGTAAATATTTTTACAATGAAAATAAATTGATAATTTCAACCCCCCAAATAAAGCAATAAAATTAATAATTTTAAAGTAATAAATTAATAAAAGTTGCCTATAAATTAAAAGCAGTACTAACTTTTTCAAAGACGCTTCTTTGTAGTTTTAATTATTCACTCGCCCACAATCCTGTCCACAATCGCACAGCTCGCCCACGAAGAATTGTTTAAAATAATAAATTTAAGTTTTAATTTTCACTCATAACAACTCTAACCAGTCTTAACACATTTCAAACTTTCCTTTAACCCGGTTGGAAAAGAATTATATAATAATCAAAACTAATCAACGCAGCTTACTAAACAGCACAAACCACAACCTAACAGCATGACTAAGAAAAGAAAACCCACGGTACCCAAACCGGATTGAAACAAGCTTAGAACTGGGTAAATTATTCTCATAAAAATAATCGAACTATACAATAACGCTTTTGCGATAAAAATTAATACAAGATCATAACTAAAAACAAAATTAACAAAGATTTGTATATGTAAATAATACCATGCAGTATATAGATAACATACAACTCAATGATGAGCAGCAAGGATCTTGACAACCCAATCACACTCCAACTATGAAATGGCAAAACACACCCGACATGCTGCCTACAGTCATTACACTTAACGAAATTAAAGTACGACTTGGCATCGCAGCAAAGGAAACCCATTGCAACCGAACAATGGCCATCTCGATGTTCAAGTATACGTACAGATCCAAGTCACCAGGCACTTCATCCAAATTTAAACTACATGCCACTTCCGAACGAGATTGGAACATTGCTGTTCTATATTCAACCAAATCAACACTCATCACAACCAATCAGAAATCATGATAAGATCTCCCGAAACGATCGTGATAACAATCTTTCTTCCTAATCGTAAAAAAGAATATGCTCGCAACTTCCAAAGAAAGACACCATCATCCATCCTCCACTACAATAGAACACTGAAGAACGAAAACTCTCTAAACCGCGGATGGGTGGAACCAGATCTAAACTAGTATTTATAATTGGTTAATTTTATGATAATTTATATCTATAAAATATTAAATACTAACCAATCATATTCCATAAAACTAACAACCTATTTATTTGTAAAGTGTTGAAACTACTTGTAGTTTCAACACCAGAACAATTTGAATTAAACATAGAATACATTTGTTCTCATTCTGGAACTAACTCGCATAAATCGGTGTACACTAGATCTATTGAGACTAGGAGATATAAGAGTAAGATTAAGATTGGTATTAGACTAAGAAGTTGCACGAATCTATCCGGCCGAAAATAAGATCCGCGAGGAGCAGACGGTGTACTTTATCTGAAATTACTCTATGAGTACACCCAAAAGGTCATAACTCAACAATTTCAAAAACTATTTTGATTTTGTAATCAGGAAAAATAGGCATCACGTGTTTGAAAATCATGAATAAAATTCGCCTTCCATTAGTATCTTTTAGCATCATCAGTAATTGTGAAGGAGCAGCTTTAATCGCAGTATGATTTAAAGTTATCTCGACTAGTCGCAGATTTTCAAAAGAATCTCATGTTTTGTCGACGTTCTTTAGATCCACGAAATCGTTTAGAGCCACGAAGTTTTTTCCGAGCTCTCGCAAATTATAGCAATACGTTAATTTGACCATATTTTATGCGCTGCAAGCGATTTTCTGCGCAAAAAGGCTCAAAATTAGTATGTATTGTCTACAAGTAGAAAAGTTAGAAAAGTTGTAGTAGAATTAAATAAATTTGGATTTCGTTAAATAATACCAACGTGGGTCAGCGTATCGAAGTTGTAGTTAGTTTCAAGATGGTTCAGTATTTTGCATGCGTGTTACGTGTTGTCTGTTTTCAGGCTGTGGTGTACACGAATGCGGAGATTCCTGGTCTGAAGGAGCATTTCCAGTGCACTTCAGTGACTTCATTCACCAGCAATGACCAGCGCAACTTCTACAACATCATCTACGCCACACTACATTTCTTCGTTCCCCTCCTGGTCACTGTGGCCTGCTATGCGTGCGTGGTGTTCCAGCTGTCAATCAAAGCGAGAAAGAGGTCAACCTCCAGCAAGGCCATCGGGGGCACTCAAAATGGCACCCATGATGGGTCCATATACTCCAACAAATCCACCAGGAAATGCAGTCTCAAAATGAACAGTAATTTTTACGTTAAGCCCGAAAGTAATTCTTTAAATTATCAGATATTTATATAATGTTTGATGCTTTTTGAGATAAGGAATCGTTTTACCAACACAAGGGATTTGGCTTTCAGTTTTTTACAATAACAGTTTTGACCAATTCAGCGCAGTTGACACTTGACAGGAATATTATCAATTAGTTAAGGCAAGTTTGCGTCTACAGGCGCATGAAAAAGCTAATCGAGTGATTAGAGTTGGTGAGAGGAAGCGGAATGTGTTTAATTAGCTGGATTTTAAAAATAACCGAAATCGTTGCTGCACAATTCGCTGCATCTTCTGTCTTCTTTTCTTTTCAGACATGCAGCAAGGCGGCGGAGATGCCGAGTCAAAGGGGCGGCCCCTGAAAAGAGCAGACACCCCCTGCAATTCCAACTCCACCACCCTGAATGTGAGATTGCAGCCAGCAGTAGTGCCCCAAGACAGCATCTCCGAAATGAATGAAGGTATCCAACCAAGCGGTTAATTGAAATTTGCTCTCCTTCTTACCATTAAACTATGGATCGGCCAAATCGAAAGAAACAATAAATTTTGAACAGTTTCAGTGCCATAATGCGGATTAGCTGCTATTTGGTGGCTTTGGTCTGAAACGAAATAACTCAATGTAAAAAATTAAAGTTGCCTGAAACGTTTATTGGCATGAATTTTAACTTTTGTACTTTTTCAAAAGAAGGCCGGATCAAGTTAACATCCACCACCCCAAATAGACCTAATTAAGATCCTCTATCTCACAGTTCATTTTCATTTAAATCTATTTAGCGCTGCATGTAAAATGCTCTATTCTGATTGGCTGAAAATTCGAACTCAGAACCAAATTAACATCCTCTCACCTCTCCCCTAAACGGATTTGGGAAAGGGGTCGGGGGGTGTGGAGGGCAGGATGTCAACTTGGTCTCATATATGAGTAGATTTATTGTGTTTGCCAAGATATTTTGCTGGTCGGCTGTTTAAATCGAGTTTCATCTTTGCCAAAACAAATTACAAGAAATGATGTTGTCCTCGTGTCATCTTTGTATGTTCAGCTCAGTAGCATATTGTACAAATCTAGAAATAGTTTTTCCCATATGCATCCGGTTATCGCAACTGACGTCCCTAAGGATAAAACAGGACAAGTTAAATGGTCAATCATACGTTTAGATTCTAATTCAGTAGTAACAAAGCCCAGTCTTTGCAATTTGGATAGTTGAAGGGCATTTTATAGGCAGTATATAGACTAATTAGCACTGAGGGTAAGAGGACGCTTGTATCTTTTCAGGCCTCAGACACCACTGTCGCTCCAGTAATGCCATGGCCCGTGCCCGCAACCGGATGTTGCTGATGACAGCCACTGTGACTATCCTCTTCATTGCAACCATTACCCCCTATTACGTCACAGAAGTACTTCTGGCTAAAGGCATGAAACTCAAATGGGTGAGTCTAATGCAACAGGGACCTTCAAGTAAAGCCCAAAGCTTAATTATTTGTTTCGTATTATAAGGCATATGAGAATGTGAATACAATAGGGCACTTTGTACGCCTATTTGCAAGATAGGTCGATAAAAAAAATTCAATTAAATAAGTCACTTTGGAATGGGATGATGACATTTACCGAACACAGTGGTAAAACGTGAAGTGTATTTTTTTTATAATTAGGTAACGTACATCTATTATGAGTACCTGAATAGAAGAGTATATAATATCCGAACATCTGAATTTACTCTAACTTCATAAAGTTTTTAAAGGACGAAAGTAGCGGATAAAGTTTGTTATTAAGACTAACGCAACAAAAGAATAAGTTCTGATTCGTCAGCCGATATACAGACAGATGATTTTTCTATAGCACCGTATGTCAGGTAGCTTAGCCCAAGTGGCGCCACTGCAGAAACTGCAACAAAGGATGCAGCGTAAAAACATTGTGGATGCGTGGCATGACATACCCGGGGGCACAAAAAACTTGCAAAGTAAAGTTTTTTCAAAAGAATAACAACAAAATGAAGTACCACCACCTGGGTGGGGATGAATAGAGGCAAAAGGCAGCATAAATTGATTTAACGACTCAAAAAAAATTAAGATACTGGAAAGTTTGTACAGAGTTTTAAGGCGGGAAAGTTTTTGACGGCTTGCACTAAATTGAATCATTCTTTGAACACGATGCCCATCGGGTACTGCCTTTGTTGCAACGAGCCTGGCTGTGCTAAGCTTTCAATGTTTTTCCGAATGAATTGGCGCTTTGGGGTAATTGTAGAGGTGGCAGCATCTGTAGAGGGCACTGGTGAACATCCTAAACTGAAATCACATTTTCTTTCACATCCCAAACTGAATGGCGAACGGGGCTACCGTACCTGGCCGGAGCCTTCCTATTTCGGCCTTGAGGAGTATGAGGAGCATGACGTCTGTAAATTGTTTTCATTGGGGTTGTGTAGGCTCGGGTCTAGGAAAGGTGACTAAAGAAGTGGATTTCTCTTCACTGGGAGGAACGAGTGCAGGGACCGGAGTGGATGATGAAGTGCAGGATGTTTCCGTGATTGTGTACGGGGATATGAGTGACGGCGTTTTCGGTCCTGAGGGTTCGGTCGCTGGCAGAGTGGTGACAGAGCTTTGGACACATTAAGCACCACCATAGGCGATTCTGAAAGCAATGGCGAGTACAATGGTGTCGAAAGCGTTTGCATGATATCTAGTGCCACGAGTGATTAGTGAGGAGCTGAACTGGCCCTCACTGCCCGACTGGGAGTCGACATATTTCTGGTAGACCGCGTTGGTGAGTTTGCCTGTTTGACTGCATCTGAGTGTCGAAGTCTGACAGGAAAACCACGGGGGTTCCGCTTTTTGCCTTTTTGAAGCTGGCACTATCGAGATGGGACACTTCGGAACGAAGCTGAGATTTTTGGCGCGAATTTTCATAAGCTTTTTGGTAAGCTCTGGCCGGCCCGGACTCCTTGTTTGGATGCCGCGGTACTTTTAGCTAAGACTTCACGAAAGTTAAAGTTTCGTTTTAGGATTTATGATTTTTGCAAAACACTTTTCCAGTGTCCGTGAAAAAAGTATTGTTTGTGACGCAAACTATCTTAAATTTTACAAATCTACAAAGAGGTTTTCAGACTTTCTATAAAAACTTTCTGAAAATTTTCACGCTGTTAGAATTATACAACAACAGAGATTCTAATTTACTTGAAGTAGTAAGCCTTGGAGGCGACGGGCCTGGCGAGATTGAGGACTCGGTGCTGGTGGCATCGGCTATACGGTCATAATATCTCAGGGTATCCTGACTGAGACCTTTTGTAAAGGAATTGGCCATTTCATTGTTTCTGGCACCGAGTTCGAGCATCAATTCTTGTTCCGTCTCCACATTGATGTTCCGCTTCGACTGACTCTACCTGTTAGCGACTTGTCCGAGGTCTTCGAGTTTTTTTTTGTTTTTGTCGGCATGCTTTTGGCTGGGTACTACTTACTCGAATCGCGGGACATATCTGGGCTGTTTGAACCAGTTTTCACCACCTTTGCTCTATCACGGCTGTAGTCAAGACTGTGTCTGTCTTCCGGTATCAGGAGGCTCCTTGCGAGGGTACTCTGATCTGAATTATTTTCAAGAATTGTATCACTGGCCAAAGAAAGTTCGGTTCTGGGTTTTCGGCCAATTTGTATCTCAAATGGTGATTTATTAAGAGTTGCATATTTGGATTTTCTGATATCATCAAAAATTGTATGTAGAACGCAATTAAGACCTTTGTAATGTCGACTCAACGCTTCGGTACCCAGCTTACGTTTTATCGTTTGAATTGTCCGTTCCACTAAGCCGCATACACGATGATACCCGACTGGGCAGAAGACATGTTTGGTCCCCAAATTATTGCAAAAATCTTTTAGTACAGCACTTTTAAACCCAGAGCCGTGGTCCTTGCGACTAGTTCTCGGTATGCCGTTCATACGTGTGTATGCTTCGAGTAAATTTAACTATCTTTTTACAACCGGTGTTTTTGTGAGAAGAACTTTCTCCCCCTTTTCGCCGGATAGCGGGCCCGCAAAATCTAATTGTAACCATCCTTAGGGGAGGAAATAGTCGGAAGTGTGAGTATTTGCAGTTTTAGACGACTCAAGATTCTTACAAAACGTCGTGCATTCCATGCACATTTGACACTTTTCGACTATCTACCGACTCAGGTAGGGCCACCATATGTACTCAGCCGCCTCGAACATGGCCTGTTTTCCAGTGTGAGATCGGGGTAAATGCATCAAGATTGCCGCATGCAGTTTAACCGGGATCGCCAGCTTGTTGTCAATGAGGATGCAGATGTCGACCACCGACGCTACTGGCCAGAACTAGGCGATGTATTGACCTTGTTTTGAAAAAGTTTGGACATCGTTGTCAAGAATTGCTCACGTCACCGGCCCGATCGTTGTCAGCTAACTCCGCTAACAGTCCAACGTCAAACAGACTGGGTAACCCCACGATTTCCCTCTTCTCCTGCGAAACAAATGGTTTCGTCTTGATTCCACTCAGTGACGGGAACTGACCTGACGGGCACGATTAGAGAGTCGTATTTGTTGGCACTTTTCGATGAATATCGCGATCGATTGAAGCGAAATTCTGGGAGGTCCCGATCGATTCCTCCTTGCTTGGCTTCTGGGAGAATAGAGCAGGTTGAATCTTACGAGTGGTCGGGAACGTACAGGGTTCGCTGAGGTCATTTCAACTATCTTAGGTGCAAGTGTGCTTTCATTTGGGCCTTGCGGAAAGTTTTCCACGAAGTCTAATAAGTTTTCTCGGACCGTCCTATTGTCTAGTTAGACCGAACACTCAAAAGGGAGGTCATGTTGAAATTTGAATAGTCAACTGTATTTGAGTGAATAAGAATGTGAAATTGATTCAGAAACTATTGGAAATAATCATGAGTTGCTGCATTTTGCAAACTTGATTTTGATTGGCCGAAAACAAAATCCCACGATCGGTCGCCCTCTGCCGGCTTGATGACTTTTATTGCGTTTTTTTTATTGGCTAATACGACCCGACTTTTTCTTGCGACCCTCCTGCGGCCAATGCCTTGACATTGAGTTAGAATTTGAACGGACGAAAATTTCCGTCAAAATACACGCCTCCTCAGCGGCAATTGACGTAAAATCAGTCTCAATTCTGATTGGATATATTTTTGCGACAAAAGGCCGAAGCCCTCTCGCGGCCCCCTGGCAGATTTCGTCACATGGTCGCCACCATATTTGTTCGCACCCTAGCGACATCTGACTGCAGGTTGCAGGCGAATTTGATTGGACGAGATTTGACGGTGATACTTTCTTCGTGGATCTGCGATACCACCCTCGTGAACTGATTGGCTTAGCAAATTCGTCATTATTTCTGCAATGAGGCCCAAGATTTTCTCTAATGCAAATTCTTGAGACTTACGTCGCTTTAGCGGGACCGGAAGACAACGCGGCGTTGGCTCGTATGTAATTGCATACTTACGTGGATTTTTCAATGGTTTTATTACAAACAAGTCATCATACACTGAAATGGGAGGTGCTTCGAATGTAGAATTTCGAGACAAATAGTCGGCCATACCTAAAGCAGCGCCGGGTACTTGCCTAATGTCGTAGTCGAACGGCAGTAATTGATCCACCCAACGTGTTAAACGGGATCTATACGGTTTATTTTCTTTATAATCTTTCAGGGCCGAAATTATGGCCTTGTGGTCTGTGAGTAAATCGAATCTATTGCCAAGTAGGTAGGTACGGAAAAGTTCTTTTGCCCAGACCACCGCTGTTAATTCGAGTTCATTCGTACTTTAGTTAAGTTCAGCGGATTTAAGAAATCGATCGAGAAGCGAACGAAATAGAACCCACAAACTTGTATCTGTTTCTTGTTCGAGACACACACCAAATCCACTGTGACTAGCGTCAAAATTTACTCGCGTATTCTTGGCAGGGTCATAATGGCAGGTCAGTGATTTCTGCAATGAGGCCCCAGATTCCCTATAATGCAAATTCTTGAGTAGCTTTCCAGATAAATTTCCTATTATTGCAGAGGTTTGAAGACTCTCGGAATTCGCTCGCAAGAATGAGAAGACCTGGCATAAAGTTTTGGCACAAGTTTTGTGATTAAGGGTACCCATGAAGGAATGTAACTCTCCTAAAGTCTTGGTGGAGGCAAAACTCTTGATAACGTCGTTTTTTGAAAAATTCGGGGAGTAACCTTTCGAGTGAATATCAAACCCCAGCCATTCAAGTTTATTAACCGCGAATTCACACTTTGGAAGTTTCAAGGCAAAACCTTCTTCGCCGAAACGGGAGAGCACCTTTTGTACTACTTCGTTGTGCTCTGTCAATGTACCTTTTGAGACCACGAGGATGCCATCTAGATAGCAAATAATTCCTGGGATACCTTGTAAAGTACAATCCACTGCCTTTTGAAACTTGGACGGCATATCCGCTTAGCCATTAAACCCAGTGTTGAATCGGTATGTCCTTGTTGATTCGCCCCAAACAATACTGAAATTACAATGACTACTTGTTGTCGCAGAAAGCTTGATTTAGCTGAACGCTTAATTTAGGTCAAGCGAGGTAAGTCACACCGAGCCTGGAACATCGCTTGTAGTGATCTGAGCGGCCAAGTTCTAAATAATTTTAACCATTTTTTGCATTAAACTAGGCACGAGTAAGTGTGTGAGACTCCTAGTCTCTAGGTGAAGCTTCAAAGTTGACAAATTTTTGCTATGTCGAGGCTTAATTCTAATTTTTATTAGTGCACTTTATATAGCTGCTTTTTTTCGTGATCTCGCAATTACATGCGAAGCGAAGCTTTGCTTCTACGTAAATTTTGATTTTCAAACATATTTGTTTTTAAAGAGCATAACTTTTTCTCTTTGCTAGAAAATTACTACTTTGAAAATGTTCAGTTGTCGAGAAAAGTGTTTTGTTCTTTTAACCAATTTAGATTTATTATTGCGTATAAAACGAAAAACACACTAACCTTACAAAATTATCAAACATTGCTCGCACACTTTTTTAAACTAAATTTTAATTTGAGTTTAAAAGCAAATTCTATCAAAGCAAATATACTTTAAAAACAAATATACTATGACTTGTAACAAAAACTGCCACAAATTAATTTAAAAAGTTTATAAAACAAAATGTTTATCAATTAATTTCTGGTAAACATATGGTCACCATTTTTCTATAGACTCCATTATTTAAATTCGTATCATAGGCATTTTTGGTATCGATGTCAAGCCGGGAAGTCATATACTACACTCAACATCAAACTATCAGCAGTGGTTTTGAAAGTTTTGAGAGAAGCCGCGAAGGATTCTAAAACAATCGGTAAATATTTTATTGTTCCGACCACTGAAAATGGGGAGGAACTTTCTATTTGGATGTATTTTATTTTTTTCTTTTTGTTTTCGACGCAAAATCAGGTACCACAAATAATCATTGGACTGTATTGAGCGATACAACATGTTGAAACCCTTGCAGTCGTGATTCAAACCACACCTAAAATTTCCATACGTTTTTTCCCCGCGTAGAAAAAAAACGGTGTAAAATTTTTGGTTCAATTTCGAGCTAATAAGTTGACCGTATACGCTTATAATAGCTTATTTAGGCTGAATTTCAGCCTTGAAA